TATATAGCTCAGTGGTGTTTTCTTCAATCATTTTTTGAAAATCAATTTAGATTGTTATCCTAGGCTCATTTCTTCTTCTTTTTCTCTGAGGTCAGTATTTTGAGTTTTCCTCTTCCTTGTTAGAGAAGGGCACATTTACATGGCTTCTCCATTTCATATGGCTAAGTTCAGCACCAGCTAGCTGGTTAAACTCTGCTAGCAAAATTCTAAGTATTATATTGCCTGTCTAGCTCAAACTCCTAAGGTGAACATTCAAGTAGAATAAATTGGGGAGCAGCAGATTTCAGGCTTGTGCAAATCATGATTGTTCCCCCCCCCCGGTGAAAACCTTCAGTCCAGACTGAGGTGCTAAAATTCTGAGAATTAAGGTGGTCTCATCGTTCTTCCATTCCTGGTTATACTGAGTTCTCAGCAATTGTTATTATAGGTAAAAGTAATGCAAGAATAGATGTAAGGCAGTAGGAAAAGAGGAAAACCAAACATGAGGTGGGTTGATTCAATAAAGGAAGCCACAGATTTCAGTCTGTAAGTCCTGAGCAGGGCTGTTAATAATAGGACCTTTCAGAAGTCATTAACTCAAGAAGCAACTTAATGGATCATAACAATAACAAACCAGCAAACAGTCCTACTGTTCTCTAATCTTGTGTCACTGAACAAGATCCATCATACTTAGCAGGTAGAGCATACGAAGACATCTATTTTTTAAAAACCCTGTAAGAACTGTGATGAGGAAAGCAGCTGCACAGCAGCAGAACACTTTTGCTGCAGAAATGGGCACTCAGTGATTTTCAGGTGAAGCTTGAGTTACTTAAAAATGCAACATCCAGAGTATGATCAATTCAGGTGCTACACCTGCAGAGCTCAGACTGATTGGCCAGATTAGTAGCAGACTCCAAAAAGTAGTTGTGTTGGCAAAGGGGTTGTACCAGTAAATACAGCTGCTTGGTGTGGCTGATGTTTAACTAGACAGATGCATTTTGATCCTACATAGGTTTAGTTACGAGTCCTACTGCACATAGTGGGTTTTATTAATCAGTTATATGGCATTATGATCCAGTGACTCAAATCCTATTGCTTAGTACAGTAAATTGCATTAGTCACATTGTATTTTTGGGTATCTGGTGATTCAGTTCATCTGCAAATTCCATTCATTCAGATTGGACTACTCTCATTGTGACTTACTAAATGAAAGTAAGGCACAACTAGACCATGCCATTTGAACGAATGGAGCTAAATGGAAGAATTGACTCACTAAATCCCCACCAATTCAATAGGCTTCCTCTAGTGTGACATACTATACTAAGGAACAGGATTTCTGCCTTAAATGTTTACTGAAATGTCACTGTCACTAAATTCTGTGGGGCTTATTCACCAAGTAAGTGTGCATAGAGTTGTTGCCTTACAATACAATTCTCTACCTGTTTGAAAATGCCCTGCTGTGTTCAATAGCTTTTACTCAAGCATATTCAGGATTGCAACCATAATTTCCACATACGGCTCCAAACAGGCCCACTACAGCATTTTATTAAACTAAAAAACAGAACTCATGTTATAATCGTAATCATAATTGTTTTCCAGTTTGGATTGGGATGGTATGCTGGTCTCCTGTCAAACATCGTCTGACTATTTCTCCCTAAAGATGCTGTGCTATCTACACATACACTATGGCAGATACATCAAAAGATGATTTATAGTGAATATGATTTGGAGTAGTGTAAAGATGTAAAATTTTGTGTGTATAGAATGTTAAAATAATTGAAGTAGAAAAAGCAGTTCTGGGAAATGAAAGTACTGAAAGAAAAATTTACTTAAAATGTATTTTAAGCTGAGAGCCTGGTCTGTTTCACAAAAAGTCAGTCCGAAATACTTGGATTCCCAGTGGAAGTCTATGAAGGTGTCGTCGTTGTTTAGTCGTTTAGTTGTGCTCAGCTCTTCGTGACCCCATGGACCAGAGCTGTCGTTGTTTAGTCGTTTAGTTGTGCCCAACTCTTCGTGACCCCATGGACCAGAGCACGCCAGGTCCTCCTGTCTCCCACTGCCTCCTGGAGTTGTGTCAAATTCATATTGGTTGCTTCGATGACACTGTCTAACTATCTCATCCTCTGTCATCCCCTTCTCCTCTTGCCTTCACACTTTCCCAACATCAGGGGCTTTTCCAGGGAGTCCTCTATTCTCATGAGATGGCCAAAGTACTGCAGCCTCAGCTTCAGGATCTGTCCTTCCAGTGAGCACTTGGGGTCGATTTCCTTTAGAATTGATAGGTTTGATCTCCTTGCAGTCCAGGGAACTCTCAAGAGTCTCCTCCAGCACCACAGTTCAAAAGCACCAATTCTTCGGGGGTCAGCTTTCTTTATGGTCCAGCTCTCACTTCCATACATCACTACAGGAAAAACCATAGTTTTCACTATTTGGACTTTTGTTGGCAAGGTGATGTCTCCACTTTTTAAGATGCTGTCAAGGTTTGTCATCGCTTTCCTCCCAAGAAGCAGGCGTTTGAGTACATCTATGAAGGTGTACTCAGAGTAAAAAACAAAAACCTATATTCAATGGAGCTTTCTCGCTTATTACACTCATAAGGTCATAGCCTTAAACAGGTTTGTTTACTTGTCAGTTATGCAGTTCAAGAGTGCCCATTGTAGCCTTAAACAGGTTTGTTTGTCAGTTATGCAGTTCAAGAGTGCCCATTGCCTGAAATCTATGTTCAGCCATCTTGAAAACATAAGCACATATCTGATAAAGTAAAATACACCCTATGAAAATTTATGCATAATAAATGTGCTAGTCTTTAGTGTGCCACAACACCCATAGTTTGTGTGTACAACAGCCTATCATGACTGCCGCTATGGAAAGTATTATATATATTGGAATGGCTATTAAAAAGATAGTTGAGGTTGAGTTTGGAGGTCTTTGGATCCATTTGCCCCAAATACTAAACTAAATGTATTATAGAGACGTGAATTAGGCTTGATCAGGCATGCACTGGATGTTTTATATATAGATATAGATATATATATCTCCTGATGTCTATCACTTTTCTTCATCTAAGAAGCAAAACTTCTAACTTCAAATCAGCTCTTAATGTTTGGTGGGTTCCTCTGCTCTTTATGATATGTTATATAACTATGAATATGAACAGTCATTTAAGATAGGAGGCATGTTATTCTGATTTTCAGCTGGTGACTCATCTCAGTGCAGTCATGGTAACAGGGCTCTTCTGCATTTGCCTCTGATATGGATGCACATCTGTATGTCCCTACCTGCATGGTGAATATTATCCAAGCACCAATACCATTATACAGTACCCAGATATATCTTTGAGGCTGATGGAAAAGCAGGTCCTCTTGGACCAAACCGATGCACAAGACTTGAGCTATACTGTAACAAATATAATCTGCAAATGTAAATTATAATCCAATCATGAAACTGGGCTTTCCAGATGGCTACTGTTTCTCCCTACCTGCGTGGTGAATATTATCCAAGCACCAATACCATTATACAGTACCCAGATATATCTTTGAGGCTGATGGAAAAGCAGGTCCTCTTGGACCAAACCGATGCACAAGACTTGAGCTATACTGTAACAAATATAATCTGCAAATGTAAATTATAATCCAATCATGAAACTGGGCTTTCCAGATGGCTACTGTTTTAATTAATTTTTTCCTCTTATTTTAGAGGATTATCTTCAATGCTACAACTTCACCGGCCCGCAGAAACCTTGTATCCCATGTACAAGAAGCATTTAGCCTGGAAAATTGATTTTGTACTCAAAAATTAATTTGCTGGTCTGCCACCTCTTTGTTCACAAATGTTAATACGCCTACAAAATGCAGATCCGTGGGGAAGCTATGTGAGGGCAGGCAGTCCTCCATAATAGGAGCATTGAAGAGCATGACAATGAGAAAGGAGTAAGTCCAGCTTCATTCTCCTCTTCCATGCAGTGTTTATACAGAAAAATGGTTTAAGAGAGTGAAGCATGCCTCTTCAGGAGCAAGTGCTTTTAGTTTCAGGAAATACTGCATCCATGTGACTCTGCTTACTTAGCATTCAAGTCAGGCAGCCTGCCTCGGCATATTTTTCTTTTTTCAGCCTGTGACATAAAAAAACCTACTGAAGGTCTTGATACTTAATCGGTGCTTCCAGTTGTTCAGTATTTTGACACTCTGATTCATTCTGGAAAGCATATAGAACATCTTTCAAAGTCGTGGTCTCAAGCACTCAAGCCAAGGGAACAGATTCTGGTGACACTTAGGATCTTGGATTATTGACTACCTGCATAGTATTTAAAAGAACATCTCTATGCACTTGTCCAAAAGCTTAAAATTTTTATATAAAATCAACAAGCCTTTAATGCACAAATAGATTACAATCTTTCATTCTGGCCCCCCTACCAAATTATCTTTCAAGAATGAATTTAGTGATGCACTGATGCCTATTCATAACTGAGTACCATTCATAACTTGAAATATAGTAGGTATTTTTAATTGGGCACTCAAAATGTTTGTTTAGGATTTCTCTGTCATATGAACAACCTCGGGCGGGAGAAGAAAAAGAGCAATAATCAGCAGCCAACAAAGCAGCATTGTACATGTTAGAGGAGAAGAAGACAGGATCCTTGTTTTTAATGACGTTGTACCTACAGAAAGTGTTTAACCTCTTCAATGGGAAACAGCCTGATCATTCGATCTGTGCCGAAAACCACGTCCTCCTGTCTCCTCTGGAACTTCCTGCTACCTTTAACCTGACCTCCACTCAAATTCCTTTGATTTTATTAAGCCAAGTGAAAGGGAAAAATGTTCTTTTCCCCCCCTCTTACAACGACGAAAAGGAGAAGGAAAAATACAACTGAGAACGCGGCTGCGAATTAAAGGAGCAAGCCGATTGTGCTCCTGTTTTGTTGTGTTGTTTTTTTGCAGTGCCATCCAAACCCCGTGTTTCTTCTCGCGGCCGCTGCCGAAACGAAACAAGAATCCTGAACACATGCCTTGAGAATCGCGCCCTTGAAATTGCTATTTCCGAATCAACGTGCTTGGGTTTCCAGCGAGGAGCCGGGCGGATTTGAAGCGATCAGCTGGTCGCTTTTTCTCTCACGTGATTTCCCGATAAAGATGGCTGCGTCCAGGCACAGCCTGGCGGGGATAGTTTTTACTTGCTGGGTTTTGTGGTTGCGGTCCGGAAGGTGTTCGGAGAGAAGCGGTGAGGAGAGGGGAGCCGGAGGAGAAGCAGATCGAGGGGCCTGTGGTTGCACCACCAGCCGGGCGAGCGGCGGGGAAGCAGTTGCCCACAAATACTCCAGGGAAGCGAATGTTTTCCATCAACCAGAGGACGGCCCGGGAAGGGCGAAGGCGAAAGAGGAGGGGAGGCAGGTCGGTAATCACGGCGATCGTTGGGTTGCCTTGCTGAGAAATTTATCCGGGCAAAAAAAAAAATTCAAAAGATAGAAAACAAAAGGTTGTGGCACCTTAAAGACCAATTGTTACACTTCGGCATGAGCTTTTATGGATATCTGGACTTTTTTCTTGTTTAGTTCTGTTTTCCATTGGTTTCGTTTTCTTTTTTATTATTATTTCTGTTTTCCGTTTTTACTTTCTTTGGGGCATGCTCGCACAGACTAGCACGGCTGTCTCTTTGAAGAGGCAAAGCAGGTTAATGGATGGGATAGGGAAGCTTTTACTGGTAGGGCAGGAAAGGTAAGGGTTCCCGTTGATACTGAGTCCAGTCGGGTCTGACTCTAGGGTGCGACGGTCATCTGGAAAGGCAAACAGCACATCCTTGTTGGGAGTTGGCACCCAGCCAACGGTCCCCACCATCCGTGATAAGGCAGGCGGCAAGCAGAAAGAACACAATCTCAGTGTCAGCACACTGTCCCTTAGCTACCCTACGAGTGACTGCCTGTCGGCAACACAAGGTAAAGGTTCAGGTTCCCCTTGACATTTAGTCCAGTCATGTCCGACTCTAGGGGGCGGTGCTCATCCCCGTCTCTAAGCTGTAGAGCCAGTGTTTGTCCGAATACAATCTTCCGTGGTCATGTGGCCAGTGCAACTAGACACATGACCACGGAAGATAGTGGTACCTATTTATCTATTGGCATTTTTGCATGCTTTCGAACTGCTAGGTTGGCAGGAGCTGGGACAAGCGATCCGATCTTCCGACTGCTGGTCTTCCCAGCTTGCAGCACAGAGGCTTCTGTGGTTTAACCTGCAACACCGCCATGTCCCGTAGGGCAGACAGAGACCCAAATAAGGATCCTGTAGAGTTAATGAAGAAAGGAATAGTATGGCTTACATCAATACTATTGTAGGATTCACTTGGGCCTCCATGCTTGAGACCGCTTTGAAATGTTGTGGATCTCCCTGTCCTCTTTATATATATAAAAGTAGAAACCAGTACCACTACTAGTTTCTGATGGCAGAAGGAAGAGAGAAAGAGCATAATAGAAAAGAATCAAGGGAAGTATTCTCAAAGGCTTTAACGGCCGGGATCCAATAGTTGTTATTTTTTTTTTTGGCTGTTCGGCCATATTGAGTATTTTACTCAACTATCCCACACACTACACCAGAACACAGAGTTCTACTCCTGTCCTCTGAAGATGCCGGCCACAGAGACTGGCGAAATGTTGTGAAGAAAAAACTTCAGAACATGGCCAAACAGCCCGAAAAACCTGCAACAACAATCAAAGGAAGGTTTGATTTCCTTTTCCTTGAGTGGTTATAGTTCATTTCTGCCATCCTTTTAAAACATTAAGCACTTTCATGAGAAGAAAAATATATGTTTGAGAAATTGCTAGCCAGGGGAGCACAGGAAATGACAATTTCTTGCTACTTATAATGTAGCCCACACACTAACATGATGGAACTTCTCTTTGACTCTAGATTATCTTGAGTTGTGTTATATAGACATGTCTCATCAGTCTGTGATTTGGTGCACATAGACATGTGTCTATGAGACTCCTGAAACAGATATTGTCTAAACATGATGAGATGTACTTCCCTGTATCTTAGGTAGATGACCTTTCCAGCCCTTCTACCTGCAATTATCCCAGTATGTAAACTGGGACTTGCAAGACATTCATATATTGATGTATTTGAAGTGTGAGAGAGGCTGTCATAAAATATAATAGCAAGTAAGATAGGGTGGGCGACTGTGGTTCTCCAGATGTTCTTGAACTATAGATCCAATAATGCATTGTGTCTTTAGCCTTGTGTATGACTAAGCATTAAAATTTACTTCTGTTGCATTTGAATTGAATTGTTCCCAGTACTGGCATCACCACTGAACTCTGGTTTTTCCTCACAGAGGTCTGGCAAATGGCCAGTGTACTTTGTGGCGAAATGCACCTTGATAATGTGACTACCTTTGGGCTGGAAGTTTGATATTCTATTCATTTTCAACAGGAGGAGAGGTATCTAGCAAGTACAAATCAGACATGAAGCATAATGGCTATGCCACAGGTTACAAAGTTTGTGTGTTGGGGAGAGAGAGAGATCAAGTGAGATAAGGGAAAGAGGGTGACCATTGGGTTGGTAATGGGTTTTTAGAATAACAGGGGCACCAACAATAATCAGACATAGACATCCCATTCTCAGCTTTGTGATGATTGTGCTGAGGTAAAATTATAGCAACTTTTAATTATAGAAAAGACTGCATAAATCTGGAGTATTCATATATACAGGCTGAAATCTTGTTGCTTAGCATAATAAGTCACACTGGAGTAGGCTTAGGTGCAGGTTGTTCGTAGTAATGGATAACAAGAGTTGGCCAATTTTAATCAGTGGAACCTACAGAGGAGTAGACTCAGTAAATGTCCACTGATTCAGTGAGCTTACTCTAGTGTTATGTAACTGCGCTAAGCAACAGGATTTTAACCAATATGCACTAAGAAATCTTAATCCACGTTTTAATTTGACGTATATTACAATATGTGAATTTTATGTCTCTTTCATGACTACCTGTGTCATTCCTTTTTCCCCCACAGCAGTTACTTTGAAATTGGTAACAGGGTGTCATGCAGGGTTGCATTTTTCTGAATGGGTTTTGGATTTGGTGACTTCTGATGTGTCCATATATTCCTTTGGGCACTGATTGACTTGTTTGCTTCAAATCACATCAGCAGATAAACAAATAAATCTTCCCCTGGTGTGGTGGCTGAGATTTCTGAGGCTGTACCCTGGGCCTACCACAGTAGATATGTTGACACAGTTGGCATAGTGCTTCCTAAGTATACCTAATCTACAGATGGGTGCAGAACATTTTGTAGCTGTCCTGTCAAATTCCAGGGACTTCTACTTGTTATTTCTCTGTTTTTCTGACGGAATTGTCTCACAGTTTTTGTGTGTGTGTAATATGGTATGTTGGAGCCTTTTGAATACTGTGTGTTGGGTTGTGTGGTAAGTTCTATGAAGTGGACTGAAGAGTAATTGATACTGAAGGTAGAATGTATGCTTTTAACACAGGTAGGACATGAACACTATCAAAATATGAGAACTCAATTGTATGGACCTCACTCTGCATCTCATGTTCAGTTTTCTGGTATATAAAAGTACCAAAGGCTTTTAGAAGGAAGAAGATAATATAATTCCTTACTTTAGCATTAGTAAGGGAAAGATAAACTACATTGTTTTTGAACTAATTAAGATCTCTGTGACTGATATGTTGGCTTTGGATTTGGATTATGCACTAAGAAAGGAACATCTTAAATATAAGAGAAATTCAGCAATGGAAGAAACTACTAAGATGGTGCTTAAAGCTGGGTGTTTCTTGGAGGCCTTTCCAGGTCTAGGATGTTGATACTTCTGAAGCTCTGAGGACACTTTCTCTTCCCTGAATATTTATGGGCTTCGCTCCTGCCAAAATCCAGGGCAGAAAAAGTCTCCAAAATAGTTTCATGCCATTGTTGTGCCATGTATGGCTGAATCCTCCTTGGAGAATGAAAATTGGGTTCCTTTTCCCAGAAAGGAAACATTATAGAAGATAATCTCAAAGGTACAGCTAGTAGCACCATCTCAGAGGCACAGGAGAGTGAAGTAGAGCCCAACCCTGCCAGGGTGAACTCGGATCTCTCCAGATGGTTTTGAGAGCCTGACAGATAGGCTACTTGCCTGCTCAAATAAGCCCCTAAGACTCAAGCTATTAGAACAAAGAATTAAAAATGAGTTAAACTGGTATAGGGCTAACCACTGACAACTTAGAATTAAAAGAAATCAGTTGGAACTGAGAAGGATTGAAAAGAAGGGCCATAAATAAAGTTGCCTGAGCCAACCAAGCTGAGGAATATTTAATTCATGTCTTGCTTAGACCCCATGTTTGTTCCCTGCATCTGCCTGAACTACTGCTGCCCAAATTGGTTTGTCATTCAACTGTGTGCCTGCCTGTTTTATACAGTGGTGCCTTGACTTACAAACATCCCTACTTACGAGTTACAACGAGCTCCGGCCGCAAAATTTTGCTTCTACTTGTGACCGGAGCTTCCACTTACAAACAAAAAAAAAGGCAAGGAAAAAAGGCGGGAAATTCAAATTTCTAACTATATGTGACGAAGAGGCTGCTTCTTTGTAGCTCTTTTGCCCCAGCAGTTAGAGAGTGTGCGTTGGAGGAGGCTTACAACTGCCTTCTTCTGTTTCTGAGAGCGTGTATGTGTGTGTTTGCAGGGAGGCTTTGGGCTGCCTGGTAAGGTAAGGTTTTTTTCTGCTTTTTAAAAACTCTTCTGGGTGTTTTTGCAGTGTGGTTTTGAGCTGGGGGGATTATGTTTCTGTGCTATGATTGGTCTTGGGGGGTTTTTGTTTGTTTTGTTCCCCCCCACCATTTCCGATGGGTCTTGGGGGTTTGGTTGCTTTTTGGGGTTTTTTCCCATTTCCGATGGGTCATGGGGGTTTGTTTTTTGGCTCCCCCCATTTCTGATGGATCTTGGGGGTTTGGTTGCTTTTGGGGGAGGTTTCCCCATTTCTGATGGGTCTTGGGCGTTTGGTTGCTTTTGGCATCCCCCCCCCATTTCTGATGGGTTCTGCATGCTTCCTTTGCTTTTTCCTTTTTCTTTGCATTTCCGACCTGCCCCCTTTGTTCTCTGTGCATTTCCAGTGGGTCTTGCACGCTTGATTGCTCCCCCCCCCTTGGTTGGAAGGGATTAATCACGTTTCCAATGAGTCTTGCAGTGATTTTTTCCCTGGCCCGAACGGATTAATTGCATTTCAGTGCATTCCTATGGGAAATGGTGCTTCGACTTATGACCATTTCGAGTTACGTCCATCTTCTGGAACAAATTATGGCCGTAAGTTGAGGCACCACTGTATTTAACCTGTAAGTGACTTGCAGACTGTAGCTTCTCTCTGGACACTTGACTGTCCTTGTGTAAGTCTTTGTTGGATTAATG